CGGTTATTAGTAGTGACCAATTTATAATTCAGATATTATATATCTCTACAATGAAAATATCTCGATATTTTCATTAAACCAACAAGTTTGCAGAAAAAAAACATTAATAGATTGTTATTGTGAGGGATCAATTGATATTTGAAATGAACACCCATTTTGATATCGACAATGGACTGTGATTATTTTCAACAAATACAAACTTTTCATCAGATTTTTATTGATATGCCTATTCACGAATCTGACGAGGTCGTTGAACTCAATACATCCGTAGAGAGCTTGAATTGAATCATTCTGAAATTAGGAGGTTACTGCAGTATTGTGAGTTTCACTATTGATAGTACTTTTCCCTACACTTTCACTCTGTCGTAACGTTGGAAAACTACAAAATACAGTTATATTTTGATTCGGTTATTTCTTCGAGATGCTATATCCACCACAATCAAGGATCCACGGCATATTTATTCTCGAAATATGTTGGACCAACATTGAACACACATTCGTCAATTCACTTCTGCTGCTCTCCACTTGTTCAGGGGGAGGGAGATAGTCCGATAGGAAGTATTGATCAACATTCATGAATAACAGACTCAACATCAAAAGAAAATTATCTCACATGGGAAATACAAGATATTTGGGGCTGGAAGGACATTAGAACTTTTTTAACCTTCATCAATTTTTTTGGCAATACACCTGTCTATTCTCAATATACCACTGACTCAAATTCTATAATGAGGTCATTCAGGAATTAGATGTGTGACAATATTTTCAAATTATCAACTTCCATATCGTCAAATAGTAATGCAGCATTCAAAAGAGTAACCTTTTTCGCTATAATTTTCATAACGGCATCCAAAATCAGTCAATGATAAAACTTTGTCTGATGATATGGATAATCTTACATTCAAGGAATGTTTCATAAAACACGCATCCAACGACATCAGTAGGGGGCTACCTCCACCACTTGACCTTGACCTTGAAAGACTCCACACGCCCTTGTGCTATGTGCTTTATGGCTTTGAATGTCTGAGTTTTGATGCCTTTCATTCATCCAATTATTATTTGAGTGTATATTTTGATACCGAAGACATACATATTCATATGGAAATGAGAAATCGAATGAAATTTGTAAGCTGATGATTGAAGCAGATCTGGAGTCTTTCCTTTCTGACATATAAACCTACTCACTGCTAAATATCAATTAAAATACTGAAATTCAAACTCACAGTAGAGGGAAATAGCATATGTGAGAAGTAATATTACTTCTTTATGCATTTTCAAGATTCTCATCCTTGCAGAAGCGGCACCAGGGCTTTGCACGCTAGAATCTTGAATGAAACCATGTACCGATATATAGTCCGACACAACATGATTCTCTTCTTCTATGATTTCAGTTTCTAGCAGTAGCCATTATTTCAGTTTTTGTTGACATTGACATTGAGAAGTAAGATGCTTCATTTAATTTTTTTCGATACGGTTTGCTTGAATGATTACAAAGTTGAAATGATTTCATTCCGAACTGATTGAAATCGTCATGTCGACCGTCCGTTGAAACCAAGAAGCTTCAAATTCGAGTTTTAAATATCATTGCTGTTCAACCCAAGCATTTACTGCGCACAATAGCTGCGCAAGAAATAGATGAACATGATCCAAATCAAATGATGGAAATCAAGAAACATTCAATTGACACAAAACCAAATTTTCTCTATCGGATGAGTTCAGTGATGAATCCAGCTTCTTCATGTCAATAGACACAATTTCTGATACAATCCTTGATGAATTGAAAAAAAACTTTATTGGTATTAGAATGTACATGTTGAAACGGAATCAAGTGTTATAAAAAATGCCATACTATGATCCTCCACTAATTTGATTCGTTTTTTCACCAAAGATAAAAACTATCTAGGATAGATACATACTTATTCACTTAATATTTGAATTTTGAAATGGAATAGTGATTCTTCATTCTCTCGGAAATTGAATTATATATAAATATCCCATCATGATATATAGACTCTTTTCAGAAACTTTTTTGAATTTAAATTTTTGACAGTAATTTGGTTTGTCTTGTGGCATGATTCTGAATTCATCTGAATCAAAAAATCATTATTCATTAATCCACCCACTCTACCTTAAAGTATTCCCCACGTAGACAATTTCAACTTTTAAAGATTTCACGCCACTACCATCACACGAATGAAAATGAACCATGGTAAGTTGTCTGCAAAAATATGCAATCCATTATGCTCATGTGACAATTTTTCTTCAGCGAATATAAATCACATCCTATTCATATATCCCAACTTCGAACTGTACCGGCCAGATTTCTTGAATAAGTTGCTCTCCCCGAATGTTTCGTTCCCAACCAATATAACAGTCCTTTCAGCTACACTCAATGGAAAACCATATTATTTTAACATCAGATTCCAACATCAGTCTAACTATTGAATTCTTTGACTTCAGAAAACTTTTGAGTTTATAGATTGTAACTTTCAAACACCTTCATCTCAATTCTTACAATTTTATAGATCAACACTTCTTCAAGTTGCTTCCATGTGGCTGCTCATCGTTTTGAAGTTCAACGCAGTACACCTCGAACTTAACTATTTGAGAACTCTTTCATTTGGAGAACTGTGTTTATGTGGAATAAACTTTCTGAGAATATTTTCCCAAATGGATTTAGTCTTCAGCGATTCAAATCCAATGAGAATCACTATTTTCGCACAGACACCACTTATAGAGCGACTTAAGAATTTTCATGTCGTGCTTGTGTTTCGTCCTTGGAAAAAAACTTTTTTTTCAATTCGTTGGCAATCCAATCGGCGGTTTTGGTCCAGATATCAGAGACGATATCGAATGTTCAGGTGAAATTTCATATACGCACGGCCATATGACGTGCTTGTAGTTGACGTGTGTTATTGAGAATCAAGATCAGGTAGTGGGGGTGGTCGATAATCAACATCAGCCTCCTACTCAGACCATGTGAGAAATACACTGCATTTATTTAATGCCCCCCCCTTTTTATTTTTTGAACGGGTCTACTCAAAGAATTGAAATTTGGGATGATGAGATGAATACATGAATACTTTATTTTGAAATGAAACTGACAGTTGAAACTCTGAATATGGCGACTGGGCGCCATCTGCGAAAAAAAAAATTAAAAGGAAAGGAGTGTCTTATGATACTTGTGAAGCACCTGACGAATACTTCACAATCCTAGAATATGAAGTCAATATCTTCACTTACTACAAAATGGCGTAAAAATTAAAAATTTTCCTGAAAATAAACACATTAATATCGATATTTCTACAAATATTCCTTTTTATCTGTCATATGGTGATTCCAACTACCTGATTAGGTTTGTTAAGTTTTTTTTTGTTCATGAAAACGACAAAAAGTGTCTCCATCTCCTTCTACTCCCCTCCTCCTGTGTGGAGACTTTTAAAGCGAAATAGGTATCATCCATACAAAATTGAAATGGTATACCAATTAACTGAAGATGACCCTGATCAAAGAACATAATTCTGCGAAATCATGACGGAAACCATTGCAAGGCATCCAACATATCTCCACAGAAAAGTTTGGGCAGGAATATTGGGAAGCCATATAGGAGGACTTCTATTTATTGATCAAAATTCAACAAGGGAACTGTATTTGAATATAGTGGAAACTACTGTTGACCCTCTCATCACTGAAATCGTCGAAGCGAATCCTAATGAATGCGATATGAATATTGTATTCCAACAAGATGGAGCACCTCCACATTACTCTAGGCAAGTAAGAAATTATTTGGATACTACTTTTCCCGGTCGTTGGATTGACCGTTGAGGTCCTACAGAATGGCCAGCCCGGTCGCCAGATTTGACTCCTTTGAAAGGTGTACGAAACTGAACCTGCTTCAATATTGCATATACGGCAGGTAATAATAAATATTTGTAGATATGTTGACGTTACTGTGTTCGAAAATATTCGGCGTGAAATATCGGATAGGCTGTTCATATGTCAAGAAGTTCAAGGCAACCATTTCGACCATCTTCTGAACTGACCTCAAGCTTATTACCTCATATCATGTAGTTAAATGTCAATGTATTCAGACAATTATTAAAAATTCCGCCATTTGGTAGTAGTTGAAGATATTGACATTATATAATAATAATGATATCGTCTTTATTATTTCATTACAAAAAATAAGGAACAGAAATTAACATAATTATATCCTTAACCTACGAAATGAAATAAAGGGCGAAGTTCATCGTCTGTAATGCAATGCATCACAGAAAATGCTCTTCCACTTAACCCTGTAAAAAACACAAAAGAACCAATCTAAAAATGTGATTATCATATATAATAATACAGAAGTTTGAATACGAGCCAACACCTTACATTAGAACGTAGGATTTATAAATAGACAATGGTCCGTTTCCAGTTCAACAAATCTATTTATATCTGCATTGACAACTTCACAAGCATTGTCTACCATTTTCGCTGAAAAACTGTGATATATTTGAGTATCATCAGCGTATAAATGCACTTGACAAGTTTGAAGAGCTTGTAGTAAATGAGAAGTATATATAGAAAAGAATAAAGGGCCAAGTATATAACCTTNGACGATTCTGAGGATTCAAGTCGACTAGCATGGCATGACGAATGTATTAGGTAAGTTCCTTTCTACTCATTATATTCCTTTCAGTTTATCCGCTAGAAGCTAATGCGTTCAGTTACTGAAGGAAAATATGGATATATTCTTGAAAACTACCAGAATAACTACCAAGGTCGATATCCACTAATCAATGAAAGATGGATAGTATTGCTTAAGTGACAGCTTTCAAAACATATAATCAGTGTTCAACAAAAGTAATTTTTTGTGAAGGAAAATCAGTTTTCTATCGAACTTTTTCGGGTATTTTTACCTTTCACAATCTGAAAAACATGTAAAAAGGGCAAACATTTCAATTCTCCTCGATAAGTTACTGCGATAAATCAAAATATTTTTCATATAGAAATATGTTCTGTTTATCAGTAACTTGTCGTATTCAACAATTTTTCCTATCGAAAAAATTGGTGAGCAATAATACAATACTCATCTTATCGTTTTGGAGGCAAAAATCTGCCTCCGTTTTCAGAAACGGACAAAAAATTCAAAAATATTTGCAGTTATTTCTTTGCTGATTATTCATTTCTCAACATCTGTCGCAGATTTTGAAGACGGAGGCAGATTTTGGCCTCCGAAACGTTAAGATAAGTATTGTATTATTTCTTAATATTACTTTTGATAGAAAAAATTGTTGAATACGACAAGTTACTGATGAATTGAATATTTTTCTTTGTGAAAAATACTTTGATTTTACGCAGTAACTTATCGGGGTGAATTAAAAATTTTCCCCTTTCTACACTTGTATGAAGTTCTCCATTATAATTTTCATATTTTTCAGGTTGTGGAAGGTAACAAATACCCAAAAAGGTCGTTAAAAAATAATCACCGTGTTGAAGAAAATAACGGACTGAAATATACTAGATTCAATATACTATTGAATTGTTGTTTGCAAAACAATCCCCAAAAATGTGAGACGTCACGGGACACCTATAACATCAATAAGAGTATTTCGAGAAAAAGGTGCTTGAAATATACATGAAAAAATTTTAATGGGGTTTTGATATACTAGTACGAAAACATCTTGAATCATAAATATCAATAATAATCGTTTCAATATAAACATCGTTAGGAAACGAAATATTCAACTGATTTTTTGATATAACAATTTCAATAACAAATGAAATATATTCGTGCCCTAGAGACTTTATTTATCATCTGATTCTGAAATACAGTTTTGTCACTCTCTTTGAAATTTATTGTTAAAACGAGTAGTTTACTGCATTATTCTTCATAAGAATGAAATTACAATTAATTATTATTCAATTCAAAAATATTGTATGCTATGAAATTTTTGTAAATTTCAATCTACCAAGAGAGGAGATTTTACATTTACTGATCCCTGAGAGAGACCAAATATACGCGGACATAATACAAAGAGAACTGCTCACTCTGAAAAAATAAAAATAAACTGTTAAACGGTGTCATTGACAAAATGTACAAAAACTAGAGAATAATTCAGAAGGTCCTATGTGGCAGTCATAACACCACTCTCTTCAGCAATCTACTGCATTGATCAGATAGAAAAATAATAAAATCTTTGGGAGTAGCGTAACCTGAGAAAATATGTAAATAATACGCCCAACGATTTCATTATTTTTGTATCTGGTCAATACTGAAATTGTTGAGGAGAGTGTTGTGAAGAGTGCTATGTAGAACCTTTCGAATTATTCTTTAGTTTTTGTACATTTTTCAATGGAACCGTTTAACATAACTTTTTTTTTCTTATTTCATTTTTAAGCTTTCAGGTACACATTTTTATCCACACTGATTCTACACAGTTCTCGGCACGTTTTAACTTTTCACCTCAACTTGGGTAGTGGATCGCTAATTATGTATCATCTTCAGTCACCCTAACGCCACACAATCCTCGACACGATACAAATTCTTGACTTGGATGGGAGATTCATGCTTGTATCCCGATTCTGACTTGACAACGTTCTCTGTATAGATTATATTTGATTTGCATCTTCTCTTAGTGTACTACTATAGTACCGGTCCAAGCTTTGTCATTTGATACCCATATTGAGGTAGTTGTGAAAAATATGTAATCNTTATTACCCTTCAGGATTTCACCGTTGAATATATGTGTGATCGTATTTATGGTTTAATATTCATATTTTTTTTGAACGAGAGAATGAATAATGAAATGATAATTCATTCCTATAGGTAATCATCTTGGTATTCCAAGAAGTGGTGGTGATAATCCAAATCTGCTTAGTCCCGAAATCATCAACCAACGACGAAATTCCAGACGTCCTAGTATACTTCCTGTCCCGGATATGTTTACCAGTAGTACTCTGAATATTGCTCAAGCTGTAACCGATGAAGGAGATGAAAGTGATGATGAACTCGAAGACGACGTTCCATGGAGATCGCCTAGCGAAAAAATTGCGTGAGTTATTCATTCGTTCGATTATTCTAAGAAGGAATGGATGTTTATTGTTAGTTGTCGTCAGTTCTTCTGAAAAAAATGTTCGGAAAGAGAAATGGAAGAACAAACATGCATGTCTAATAAAATGAATGTGATAGTTTCCGTATGTTATGAAAACTTCCTCATATCGATGTTTATCTGATTTTTTCATTAAATTCTGAGGTTTGATACAATTTAATTTTTGTGATACATGAATTTATCAATGTTATACATTATTCACATGTCTCGAGCCTATGAGGTGTGATTTTCATGTTGTATGCCTCTGAAAAATTTTACAAACAAAATCCAAATGAGCCTCACGCTGAAAATGAATTTGTAGCCGTATTCTTTTACATATCTCCAGAACCAATTTTTTTTTTCGATTTCAAAAAGATTTTACTGTATTCTTTTTGGCAAAACAACATTTTCAAAAATCTTGGTAAGTGTTATTTCAAGTTGGATTTGACATATTTTGAGAACTCTCAAATGAGGGATATAATGAGCGGTTATTAGTAGTGACCAATTTATAATTCAGATATTATATATCTCTATAATGAAAATATCTCGATATTTTCATTAAACCAACAAGTTTGCAGAAGAAAACAGTAGATTGTTATTGTGAGGGATCAATTGATATTTGAAATGAACACTCATTTAGATATCGACAATGGACTGTGATTATATAAACTTTTCATCAGATTTTTATCGATATGCCTATTCACGAAACTGACGAGGTCGTTGAACTCAATACATCCGTAGAGAGCTTGAATTGAATCATTCTGAAATCAGGAGGTTACTGCAGTATTGTGAGTTTCACTATTGATAGTACTTTTCCCTACACTTCTACTCTGTCGTGACGTTGGAAAACGACAAAATACAGTTATATTTTGATTCGGTTATTTCTTCGAGATGCTATATTCATCACAATCAAGTATCCACGGCATATTGATTCTCAAAATATGTTGGACCAACATTGAACACACAATCGTCAATTCATTTCTGCTGCTCTCCACTTGTTCAGGGGGAGGGAGATAGTCCGATATAAAGTATTGATTAACATTCACGAATAACAGACTCAACATCAAAAGAAAATTCTCTCACATGGGAAATACAAGATCTTTGGGGCTAGAAGGGCATTAGAACGTTTTGATAACCTTCATCAATTTTTTTGGCAATACACCTGTCTATTCTCAATTTACTACTGACTCAAATTCTATAATGAGGTCATTCAGGAAATAGATGTGTGACAATATTTTCAAATTATCAACTTCCATATCGTCAAATAGCAATGCAGCATTCAAAAAAGTAGCCTGTTTCGCTATAATTTTCATAACGGCATCCAAAATCAGTCAATGATAAAACTTTGTCTGATGATATGGATAATCTTACATTCAAGGAATATTTCATAAAACACGCATCCAACGACATCAGTAGGGGGCTACCTCCACCACTTGACCTTGACCTTGAAAGACTTCACACGCCCTTGTGCTATGTGCTTTATGGCTTTGAATGTCTGAGTTTTGATGCCTTTCATTCATCCAATTATCATTTGAGTGTATATTTTGATACCGAAGACATACATATTCATATGGAAATGAGAATTCGAATGAAATTTGTAAGCTGATGATTGAAGCAGATCTGGAGTCTTTAATACTGCAATTCAAACTCACAGCAGAGAGAAATTGCATATGTAAGAAGAGATATACTTCTTTATGCATTTGCAAGATTCTCATCCTTGCAGAAGCGGCACCAGAGCTTTGCACGCTAGAATCTTGAATGAAACCATGTACCGATATATAGTCCGACACACCATGATTCTCTTCTTCTTTGATTTCGGTTTCTAGCAGTAGCCATTATTTCAGTTCTTGTTGACATTGACATTGAGAAGTAAGATGCTTGAATGATTACAAAGTTGAAATGATTTCATTTCATGGACGAACTGGTTGAAATTATCATGTCGACCGTCCGTTGAAACCAAGGAGCTTCAAATTCGAGTTTTAGATATCATTGCTGTTCAACCCAAGCATTCACTGCGCACAATAGCTGCGCAAGAAATAGGTGAACATGATCCAAATCGAAAACTGCAGTTTTGGAAATCAAGAAACATTCAATTGACACACAACCAAATTTCCTCTATCGGATGAGTTCAGTGATGAATCCAGCTTCTTCATGTCAATAGACACAATCAAAAAATCATTATTCATTAATCCACTCCACTCTTCCTAAAAGTATCCCCCACATAGACAACTTTTCAAGATTTCACGCCACTACCATCACACGAATGAAAATGAACCATGGTAAGTTGTCTGCACAATAGTCAAAAATATGCAATCCATTATGCTCATGTGACACTTTTTCTTCAGCGAATATAAATCACATCCTATTCATATGTCCCAACTTCGAACTGTACCGGCCGGATTTCTTAAATAATTTGCTCTCCCCGAATGTTTCGTTCCCAACCAATATAACAGTCCTTTCAGCTACACTCAATGAAAAACCATATTATTCTAACATCAGATTTTAACATCATTCTAACTATTGAATTCTTTGACTTCAGAAAGCTTTTGAGTTTATAGATTGTAACTTTCAAACACCTTCATCTCAATTCTTACAATTTTATAGATCAACACTTCTTCAAGTTGCTTCCATGTGGCTGCTCATCGTTTTGAAGTTCAACGCAGTACACCTCGAACTGTGTTTATGTGGAATAAACTTTCTGAGAATATTTTCCCAAATGGATTTAGTCTTCAGCAATTCAAATCCAATGAGAATCACTATTTTCGCACAGACACCACTCATAGAGTGACTTAAGAATGTTTATGTAGTGCTTGTGTTTCGTCCTTGGAAAAAAACTTTTTTTTCAATTCGTTGGCAATCCAATCGACGGTTTTGACTTGATCCAGATATCAGAGACGATATCGAATGTTTAGGTGAAATTTCATATACGCACGGCCATATGACGTGCTTGTAGTTGACGTGTGTTATTGAGAATCAAGATCAGGTAGTGGGGGTGGTCGATAATCAACATCAGCCTCCTACTCAGACCATGTGAGAAATACACTGCATTTCTTTAATGCTCCCCCTTTTATTTTTTGAACGGGTCTACTCAAAGAGTTGAAATTTGGGATGGTGAGATGAATGCTTCAATACTTCATTTTGAAATGAAACTGACAGATGAAACTCTGAATATGGCGACTGGGCGCCATCTGCGAAAAAAAAATTAAAAGGAAAGGAAAGGAGTCTTGTGATATATGTGAAGCACCTGACGAATACTTCACAATCTTAGAATATGAAGTCAATATCTTCACTTACTACAAAATGGCGTAAAAATTAAAAACTTTCCTGAAAATAAACACATTAATATCGATATTGTAATAAATGCGATATGAATATTGTATTCCAACAAGATGGAGCACCTCCACATTACTCTAGACAAGTAAGAAATTATTTGGATACTACTTTTCCCGGTCGTTGGATTGACCGTCGAGGTCCTACAGAATGGCCAGCCCGGTCGCCAGATTTGATACCTTTGAATTTTTTGAGGCTATTTGGAGCGAAAGGTGTACGAAACTGAACCTGCTTCAATATTGGATATACGGCAGAGAATAATAAATATTTGTAGATAAGTTGACGTTACTGTGTTCGAAAATGTTCGGCTTGAAATATCGGATAGGCTGTTCAAATGTCAAGAAGTTCAAGGCAACCATTTCGACCATCTTCTGAACTGACCTCAAGCTTATTACCTCATATCATGTAGTTAAATGTCAATGTATTCAGACAATTATTAAAAGTTCCGCCATTTTGTAGTAGTTGAAGATATTGACATTATATAATAATAATAATAATATCGTCTCCATTATTTCATTACAAAAAATAAGAAACAGAAATTAACATAATCATATCCTTAACCTACGAAATGGAATAAAGGGCGAAGTTCATCGTCTGTAATGCAATGCATCACAGAAAATGCTCTTCCACTTAACCCTGTAAAAAACACAAAAGAACCAATCTAAAAATGTGATTATCATATATAATAATACAGAAGTTTGAATACGAGCCAACACCTTACATTAGAACGTAGGATTTATAAATAGACAATGGTCCGTTTCCAGTTCAACAAATCTATTTATATCTGCATTGACAACTTCACACAAGCATTGTCTACCATTTTCGCTAGAAAACTGTGATATATTTGAGTATCATCAGCGTATAAATGCACTTGACAAGTTTGAAGAGTTTGCAGTAAATGAGAAGTATATATAGAAAAGAATAAAGGGCCAAGTATATAACCTTTGGGTACTCCTGATTTATTATATAGAATATCTGAGGTGCATTCCTCTATACTGACTATCTGCTGTCTATCTTTCATATAGTTTGCCAATAATGCCAAAGCATTAGCAGAAAAACCGATATATTCCAAAATATTCAACAAAAGATTATGAATGATAGTATCAAATGCCCGGCTGAAATCTAGAAGGACTAACACCATACATTTGTTTTCGTCTATTGCTTTCATTATATCATCCGCAATATGTAGAAGAGCGGTTGTACAGCTATGCTCTTTCCGAAATCCCGATTGAACAGAAGGCAACAGAGAAAAATTCAAAAGATGGTTTTTAATTTGAAACTCCATGGCTTTTTCTAGGATTTTAGACAATACAGGCAGAATACTTATTCCTCTCAGATCTTTAAATTCCATTGGACTTTGTTTTTTAGGCAGAACCTTCACAATGGCTTTCTTCCAGACCGTTGGGTAGACATTCTCGGTTAGACAAAAATTTATGATGTGGGTAATATAGGGTATGATATGAGGACAACAAAACTTTATTAGCTTTATACTCAACCCATCGCATCCTTTAGCATTCGTTTTTACTTCACAGATAGTTTTGTGAACAAACAGATCATTAATTTCTTCAAAATTGAATTCACTATCGACCCTTTTATTGTTTTTATAAAAGTTCAGTAAACTTTGTGGTGGTTGT